CGTGCTCCAACAAACTTTGCAAAATATTGTCTTCCCCCGAAATATATGCATTTTGTTCAATAAAAATACAAGTATTTACATCGAGTATTTCCCAACAACGCGTTGAACAATCTCTTTGTTTGCAAGAATTTTAACATTCATTCAATTCGTCCTCTGCCCGATAACGATTCTCGTTCAAACCGATATTTTAATTGATAATCGTTAATTAGGATATTTTAATCTCTTCCATTTTCATGTTAAGGGGATGCTGGAGTGTTCTGTTTTACCATTAATTTTTAAAGACTCTTTTCTCTTAATTGTGTTTATGGATTGAAAAGTCCTTCTCCACAATTAAAGTATCGACAACAACACAGGCTGCCAGCTACAATTTAATGCGAAAAATGAAAGAAAATTAAAAATTGTAGTTTTGTCACCGGCTCCTGCAGTCAACTCGTCACAATATGTGCTGCATATAAGAGTTTCGGATTTTACCCGTTTAAAATAAGTAGCCAGCAGCCTACAAAAAATTTTGAAGAACAATCTTATGCTTTTAGAAACGAGGTAGGGGCTTTGGTATAAGAGAAGAGTCGCCAAAAATTTCGTTCGTATACTACGAATAAAATTGACGTGAAGCCATGAAATCGAGCAGTATTTTAGTTGATCTCTTTCTAAGAGATGGCGTTGCAATATGTTAGATAAGGACAGATGAATGCGTTTGAGCGAGACACAACGATATATAATAAGTATAAGAAATGAATGAAAGATGTCACTATTGTCGAATTTGGAATTTAAAAAAGTCTGTACTATCAACCTTGATTAATTTCGACCGTCACTCCAGCATCCCCTTAAGGGTAAAGAGCGATTCGCGCTCCGATCATAGACTTATATAATAAATTACGTATTAGGTTGTAGCTGAAGACAACATGTAAAAGACAGAGATATGAGTGGTCTGTTACTCTCTTTGTCACACATTGTACAATTAAACAAGGAAAGCATCTGACCAACTGTTACCCCTTTCTTACTAATGTTGTTCTCATATCTAGTGCGTAGTTTAATAAATATAAGTCTATTTACACCGATACATTGACATTCGTTTCGAAGGATCTGGATGGACGTCGGGAATAATCTCTGACGTATATCGGAAGTGTATGTGTGTATGTGTATATATATATATATAACACGGCTTCCGATCGTGCTCGCAATCTCGACTCGGTCGATCGACGTGTCGCGGCGAAGATATTGCCAACGCATATATAAATTACTCTGTGGATCGTGACTCGCGATCCGTTATTCTCTTTTCTTCTCTAACACCACATTAGACGCCTCTTGCCTCCCTGCACACCTCGTCTCATTCTCTCTTTCTCTCTCTCTCTCTCTCTCTCTCTCTCTCTCTCCTACCTTCTCGTCACTTCACTTCGCGCACTCTTTCTCGATTCTAAAAAGGTAATGACGTTGATCCCATAGAATACAGTGTTTTAAACATCTAGGCACAATTCCTAATGATTGTTTTGGGCGAGCTTGTGCGCAAGAAAATCGTCCTCCCTCACTTCCGAACGGCGGAACTTCGTTGCTCGATCTTCGGACGCGTCGAGGATTTCCTGCCCATTCCAACACAATTCATGGGCAACTTCTTAATAAAAAAGCGCATAACTATAAGAACCGTAATTCTTAAGCGAGATTTTGTATTTTCGTAAATGGAAAATACAAGCCCTTAATTATTCAAATTATGCAAAAGTGATCGACAGATCTAAATATACGACGATTTCGATGTTTTCAATCTTCGTCAAATAATCTGGAGAAACAGTTCAATATAAAAATTTCTTTACTTCGCATCTATTTCGATGTAGGATTGTAAATCATCAAGTGATCGAACAATTGTGATTAATCATCTGTTAATTATGCGCTCCTCCCTCCTGTGTTTTCCTGGCGATGCAGAGTTTCCAGACGCGTTGAAAGATACGAAATAACAAGTTCAATCACCCTTTCTTCCTATATATGGATCATAAGAGTCGCCGCGTGCATGTGGATCGTCGCGCATGCAATTTACGATTCACTCTGTTTTGATCCACATCGACGTGATTTCTCTTGACTAAAAAAAAAAAACAGAAGTAAAAAAAGCAAGATAAAATAGAGTGGATCATGAGCGGAAAATCTAAGGATCGCGCGTAAAGAGCGACATAAGGGATTCATCCGTACGTTTGTATGTATATATACATATATATGATATATAAATACATAGATATATTATATATTTTTTATACATATACAGGTATATATATATGTATCCTTTAATACAATAAAAAATAAATTATATATATTCCTATTCGGAATAAGTAAGATCGCACGAAGCTCTTTAGGTCGCCCCCGAGGATCGCGCGAAATGGAAGATGATTGAGGGAGAAGAGTGATTAGGCAGCCGGAGATATACAGAAAAAAACACAAAAAAACGGGTAGGTTTATTTTTTTTCTTGTTTCAATCGTTTTCTTGACAAATCGAAGATTAATTATATGTATATGTACTTTCGTCCCGCTCGCTCGCGAAGTCTTTTTATTCTCGCTTCGACACTCGGTGATATCAGAGAAAAGGAAGGGAGGGGCCAGTGGAAGAAATAAATGTGTCGGGAGAGTAGTGATACAAAGAAAAAATCGGTATAGAGATTCGCAACACCAAAGTAGATGCAGGGAAGGGAAAAGAGGAAAGGGATAGGTGGAAATTTTGATTAAAAGTCGTTGTTTTGTTAAAAATAGGATAAAATAAAAAACAGGCAAAGGACATACAGTTACTTACGAGCCGTAAACGCATTGACGATTACAGTAAGAGCAAACATTGGTCGGAGCGGCAACAGTAGCACTCATAGTATAGTAGAGTAATACAATAGTAGAGTAATATAGTAATGATAAGAATAGAAGTATAGTATAAAGCACATACAATTTATATGTATATATAATAATAATATATGTATAGAGAGAGAGAGTATGTGAGAAAGATTAAGAGAGATAGAGAGAAGTAATATAGATGATGGAGAGAGAGAGAGAGAGAGAGAGAGAGAGAAATAGATAGAAACGATAGTATAGTTAAGATAGATCCTGAACGGAGAGAATGATAACGATCTGCATTGTCATTAAATTCATATATTGTAAGAAGATAAGGCATGTTCCTTTTTTTAATATTGACAGTTATCGATGTCACAGTTAAATAAATCCTACTAATGCGGATCGTTATAATTTTCTGCTAAAGGGAGAAAAGATGAAGCAGAAAGAGTAATAGTAGAGTAATTAACGATAGTGAGAGTAGTTTAGTGGAGTAATAAGAGTAGAGTAGTAGTAATGATAGATAAGAGTAAACAGTGATAGATAGAGTAAGAGTAAACAGTGATAAATAGAGTAAGAGTAAACATGTAGTACCATTATCAAAGAGCGATAGTCCACAGGATTAAAATTAAGATGATAACGATAAGAATACATTGAGAGGTAAGAAGTGCGTTTCTTGCGAGAAGAGCAGTCTCTCTCTTTCTCTCTCTCTCTCGGCACGTAAATCAAGCGCGTCGTTAATGCTAAGATAAAAAAAAAGGAAGGAGAATTTATTAAACATAAGAATAAGATAATTATATATAATAAGAGTAGATAATTAATATTAATTAGAGCTAATAACAGTAAGGATCGCAGTGGCGATAATAATAGCAACCGACGACAATTAAAAAGTATAAAAATAAAATTAAAAGTAAAAGATAAGAAGCGCAGGGGTAAAACGCAAACGAAAAAAATACGATAGCTTTAGCGGGAAGAAGTAGTGAACGATGATAATACCGATAATGTCAAAGTGGTAGAATGGGAATACTCGTAAGACGCTAAAACGCGGACAGACCTGGAAGATATACAATTGTACAATCGAACTTCTCGCACTTGTGATATGTACACATTCCCTTAAGTATTTCCTGAGATAATTTCACGAACGAGCACGCATAATGTAAAGGAACTATTTTTCTCGCGGTAAGATTCGCAAAACGTTATCTCTAATTCACATAAAAGTTATGTTAGTCTAGTGCCTCCTTCGGGCTGAAACAAATTACTTACGCGCGCGATTTGCGAATCGTGAGAAGAAATTATGAATACAAGAATGAGAAAAGGATCTCATTCACAAGCGGATGATGTAAAGGACGAAATTTAAATTAAGAAAAAGGAAAAATTAATTTATGGTACAAAATATGGAACGGTATACAGCCAATGGAATAAAACGATGCGCCAACGACGATCGATCTTTTTGAGATCGAACGGTAAAAGCGCCTCCAGATCTGTCGAGACGGAAAATCGAGAAAAATACTTTCGTAAAAGGGGGCTAGGGTCCAAGAGTCGAGCTATAAAAAGATTGTATGCGATAATGTTAACAATATCGCGTCGGCGTACGCTATACATGTGTTTGGTTTTCGTGTGAGCGTGTCGCGCCAAAAAAAAGGCACGTGGAAGATCGTCAATCGTATGTGTTTCACGCGTGTCAAAAAGTATACATTTTTTGTGTTTAATATATATACGTACATACATATATTAAACACCATGCATGAGTGATGTATGAAATGCGAACGTGTGGATGTGCGCGCGTCTCGCGTAAATGCTGACCGACAATAGAAAGATCGCGTCTCGCCGATCGTCTCGACGATCCGGAAAATCTCTCCCCTTTTACTCCTTCTCTTTTCTCCCACGTCACAACTGTTCCCTGAATTTTTGTTTCTCTTACTTTCTTCTTTTCTCCTGCCGCGCGCTTCCATCGCGATTCGCACCGCGGTGCAGGGCGCAACGAATGGGGAAGAAAAAAAAAACAAGATCACTCTCATGATCTCCGCCTTCCTATCGATAAGACTAATCCCTAATCGAACTTACTAAGAAAGAGCTTAACCGTAAAACGCCCGCTCTGACAATGGTTCTCGTCGAAAGAAAATTGTCTGTTTTGCCGGAGACGAGCTGATTGTGACTTGCAACGCAATTCCTGGCCCATGATTGGTTTTCTCTCTCACATATATAGCTTCTTTTTTTTTTTTTAAAGATTTACCAGCTTTTAGAGAGCGCCTTGCCGACGATCGAGCTCCTGATGACGCGATCCCGCACGATTCTGGATTTTATCAACCATGCTTGCGCTTTGCAAATATTATTTCCGTGACAATAGAGAATAAATATCTATCAAAGGATAAGAGATCTCCTTTTTCTACCTTTTTTTATCGGATCGAAACCACACTCTACGCGCGGAATTGTCATCAGCTGTTGATCGGATCGGCAAACGACGACTGTGAGACGAGGGAAAGAAGGAAGGTATACGCAGAAAACCAAGGATCTTCCTGGGCACGGAATTTGGAAAGTTCGAGAGCTAAAAGGCGGAGTTGACACTTGTCACGATAGGCTTGGAAGTTTTTGCAAACAGGCGAAAAATAGCTGGCAAGATTGCTCGGAAAGGCTTGGAGCGACGTTAAAGAAGTAGTATATATACAACCTGAGATTTTTCACAAAATTCTCGAACGCGAAAAAGGATGAGAAACGTTTTCGAGATGATACATTCTAAATTTTATCAATTTATCGAACGAAATATTCCCTTTTAATATTCAATCTGTACACAAACGACTTTTGTAATATTTCTCATCATTTATGTGCCAACTAATAAAAAACTCAACAATGTAGCTAAAATATCGTTAAAAGGCAATCTATTAAAAGTATATTTTATCGGCCACGATATAAAAATCTCGAAGACATAAACCGTTCTTCCAACAATTATAATCATTTTGCGGGAAAAACATTGATCTGATCACAAATCTATAGATACTTTCCGATAAATAAGTCATGATAACGACGCGAGCCGGAGACGAAATCAACGTATCTTCATGTTCGTATCTCCTTTTATTTACAATTCTAGCTTGCGAAATCGCGCCGAGTTGTCCGCCAGCTCGGTGAAAATCTCTCGAAAAAGGAAAATCCACGATTGGAACATGAGAAAGTCTCGTTGCGGAACAGGGGATAGGGATGGGGGACCGAGAAAAAGAAGGGAACACGAAGAAAGAGGTTCGGTGCGTAGGCAGCTTATCACGGCTTTTCCGAGATTCCCTTCGTCAATTGTCGATACAGAAAGTCGAGTGATTGTCATTTAACTATACACATTACTTAAATCTGGAGGCTTAATTAGAAAGGAGCTACTACACGACTCTAAGACGCTACTAACGTTTCTTTTTTTTTCTTTTTACGCTAACAGTTCCTCGTTACAGGATCGCGCTTCTCTTCCATCTTCTCTTTTTTTCCCTTAAGCAACGCTTCTCATCGTCTTAACGACTACTACTTAGTTAATTTCTACAATTCTCACTGGCTTACAACGTACAGTGTGTTTTTCTTCAGTATTTTTAAAATTCAGCCGTCCTTTGTATGCGCGCTAATCGAGAAAAAAAACAAACGGATATCCTATACATTTCCGACTACAAAGGTGTCGTCTCGTCACGAGAGGCTCTGAACGATCTCTCCGTCTCACTACTTCTCTCTCTTTATCACCTCGAAAATTAGGCTCCATTGAATTGTACGTTTGTCTCTATGTTCGTTCCTTCTCTCTTACGGTATACCTGGTTATATCGGCATGTCAATAGTGATAGCGATACAGTCTCGGTACGACTTGAAATATTTGATAGCGGCTCCATCTCATCGAGGCCTCTCTTCGCTATTTCCCCCCTTAAAATAAGAAATCCTATCGAGAATTCGAGACCTAAGAACGCGGTCGAATCGTTCCTTTCAACGCAAACGAAGGTAAGATGATGATTGACAAAAGTTGATTGATAGCTCGTTCGTCCGCGGTTCCACCGTCTCGTCCTCGAGATCTAAATTGGCGTGACTCTCGTGAAAGCAAGAACAGGCAAGAAAATCGCGAAATCACTCAGTCAACAGGCACACCAACGAATAATCCGCGTGTCCCAGCGACCTGCAGAAAAAGAAACCTCGCATTCGGATTCCCTCCGCCCATCCGCGCGCGAAGAATCGAGATAACGACCAACGTGCCAATCTAGAAGAGCTGAATCTAAGGATAGCAGCCTTATCCAAGCAAGGGAGATACGAACTGTTGGCGTTTTGATACAAAAGATCAAGTTTCTTCTTTTGATATTCAGATTGTGTCATCCAATTGTGGTTATTTTAATGTTACATCATGTCGGCATTTGAACAGATCGTTATCTCGACCCTCCTAATCCTTTATGTAAAACACCCGTCGGTTACAATCTACTGTACTCCTTTATAGAAATTTAAAACTGGAAGGTAGTAATTAACTACTTATTTTGAGTATTAAAAATATTGTGTTCAGTGCTTCTAATACTCAAAATAAATAATTAATCACTATCTTTCAATATTAAATTGACCGATACTGGATTTCTGTAAGGATTACCGTCGACGCTCTATCCCGAAGATTTTTATTACTGTCCGCACTTTGGAGACCCTGTGTGTCTTTTAAATGCTTCTCCCCTCTCGCGATAAACTAATGTATACTTATTATAATTTTTCGAGCTGAGTTTCTCCATGTAAGTGAAAGTGTAATATGTGTGTTTGTGTGTGTGCGTGTTATGTATGTTGGCGCATGTTTACCCACATAGCACACTTCCGAGGGACATCCTGAGAACGTCCTTAGAAAGTAGATCGTCTTCTGGATGTCTTTAGATGTTCCTTAGAGATCCGTACTATGTGGGTGTCATCAAAGTATTTTCTTACTGCTGACCGCCTGTTACCACGTAACATCTAAATCATTCTCCCAATACTAGAAGAGGTCACTCGCGAGTCGCGATGTTCCCTAACTTTGAAACGGGAAAAGAATTTGACGCGAGAAAACGGGGACGCCGTCGGCTTGTTGCATCGACGTCACGCGTGTCATGTTTTAGATCCGTTCCTTTCTTGATTTGAACGACGCCTAAGGCCCCGATTAGGCAAGCAGACCATATTCTTGATAATTTTCTCAACGATATACCTAAGATAGCACAGATATAGTCATTTAAAACTCATCATATACATATATTTTTTTATATTTCACACCTCCAATCACGTTAACGTTGCGTATTGTATGTACGTTGCGTGTGTATGTGCGTGTGTCACGTGTCCTTCTCCGTTTTTTGCCGGTTCTACGTACTTGAGTTTCCGCCGCGCATTATATAATATATATTTATATATATATATTTATATAGATTAATCTTTTCTCTAATTTATGTGATAATCCGTAACACGTTAGTAACCCTATATATAGACTTATCCCTTATTAATAAAATATAGATTATCCGGATTGTAGCCGCATTTTACAGGACACACCTGTTACAATGCGATATATCAAATATATAATAGATATAAGTCCGTGAATGTATGTGTGTGTTTGGGTCTGTGTGTGCATGTATATGTGCACGACTCGCGTCTGGAGCGTGTGTTTGTATATATGTCTGTTTGTATATTTCGCGTACATAAATGGATTAGTGGATACCCTCTGTGTGTAGGCTAAGCTTCTACTAACGTGGCTCTCTACTAGACCCCGAATTTCCTTGGTCCGAGTGCGATGTCTCACCGACGTCGCCGCGCTGCCGATTTCTACCGTGTCCTCACGACCTCAATGAACTGAGCGATCTTCAATATGCAAAATTTTGCTTGACAGAAAACAGACACTCGCGTCAGGATAATGAAAATGTCAAGAACTCAGACACAATGAAAAACGCAGGCAACAGAAATAGGGAATAACGCAGGCAATAGATTTCAATCTATCAGAAATTGCTGTGCATTGATACTACATTGTTACGCCACTGTTGCTGGTATTACATGCTAAACGAGATACTCTTATGCGAAACGATATGATTTTAATGCGCAGATTGAGAGGCCGCAACGATATCATCAATAAATAAGAATTTTACTTTATATAACTTTAGATAGACCAATGTTTCAAATACCTTAAGATGCATTAAGTTATAACGAATTCTTTCTCTTTGAATAAGTTTTTTTTCTGAATAAGAGGTAATATTTTTTGTTTTTTCTTTGAAGGTTTCTGATAGGTTGGAATCTATTACCTGTATATTATTTCTTGTTCCTATTGTCTGTGCTTTTCATTGGTTACGTACAGCAGAAAAAGCAGCTTTGCAACCGTTGTAAAATTCTTTAATTAATGATTGACTTTGCTCTTAGTTCCTCTCACTGGAGCTAAATGTATAAATCAATCATATTAAAGAATCTTACAACAATTGTAAAGCTGTTTTTTTTCTACTGAACGCTGTCACTGTGACTGAATCCTAATGCTCATTTTATCCTAAATATCCTCACTCGATGGAAATCATTTCTTCTTTGATTATTACCCATGCATTGTGTCTATCTTTCACGCGAAGATTCCCGTCGCGTTCTCCGTTGATTCGCGCGATATCGTTCATCCGCAGTACCATTCTTTACCGAAGGTCTTATTGAATATGCGAAAATGTTTACGTCGCGGAAGGGATGAAAGTGAATCCTCATTAAACTACCACCGGCCGATTTTTCGCGCGACGAGTCTGGGGAAATTTCGGAGTCTGAATAATCTACGACACCATGTAGCGAGTGCTGGCTACTCCAACCCTCACCTCGGCCCCCCTCAACCCAGCTAGTGATATAGTCGATCTATCCGTCTACAGGGTGCCTCCTCTTCCTCATCACTTTTTTTTTCTTCTTTTCATTTTTGCCACTCACGCGAGGACCGTCCGAACGGAAAGGAGGAAGGCCGATCTAACGTGTGTCGTAACGGCGACAGAGTAAACCGAATAGATGTGCGATTTAACGTCGGGCACCCTGTAGATATCTATAGTTCCGTACATAGCTGCCCCGTTTTCCGGTACGTTTTTCTACTAATAATAAGTCCATTGGAAAGAACGGCTCGTGCCGCTCATCGAAACGAGTTATTTTTGGCGATAACGCTTTGGAGGAATCTTGCGCCGAATTCCTCCTTTTGCGAGCAGAAGAGCTGATTGTCACCATTAGAGTGGCGTGAATAATGAAAGAAAAAAAGGAAAGAAAGAAAAAAGTAACGTTCGGGTTTACATGGCTCTATGGCAAGAAATTCGAAAAAACGAGAGAGAAAAAAACGAAGACAGGGACAAAACGCTGGGTGCGTGAGCTTACGTGGATCGTCACGTGTATCGTGTGTTCCGTGTGGATTGGTGTGTACGGATGCGTATTGTACGCGTCAACAGGAATGTGCTAAGAAACGGCCGGCAAGCAATAAAATGTAATTAGCGACCTGGCGTGAACGGTGGGTGCTCGACGTTGGCAATTCGCGAAAAAGATACACGCGTGTTTGTGTATATATACGTATGTATGTATAAATCGTAATAAATAATATATATATATATATATATTAGCTCGGGAAATCGAGTAACACTCTCTGTGCGAGCTGTTCAGGTACGCTTAGACGATATTCGTGCCGGAAGTAGGGATTATACGAAAGCTCTCCCGCACAGTTTCTTCCTCTTTTTTTTCCTCCCTCCTTGTGGCACTCTCACGCTATGTTCCGCGATATGCGATAAGAATCGAGGAGATACGAACGTGTAAACGTCAGCGCGCGGGCTGCTACAAGATACTTTAAAGGTACCGCACGAAAAACGATCCAAATGAGACAAACAAAGTAGGTAGTGTAAGAGAAGCGCTTCTTGAATTCCTAGATCAATACACAGCGAATTAAGCGAGCCACCTAAAACGAGAAGGAAACTACTATATTCGGTAAAATAAAAACTGGATCGTGCGCTGGAATCTGTATGTACATTCGTGGGCGATTGCGGAGGTGTATTTTTGTGTACTGCTTAAGTAATATGTATTGCGTGTGTATGTCTGTGTATGTGCGCGTGTAAGTGTCGTGAATATTTCTCGTGTTGACAGACGTTGCAGTCCGGGTGCTCGGAACGTGTGTCCGGTTAAGAATGTATAAATGCAGTCCAAGTAAATAACGTAGTATCAGAGGTCCGAAAGACACAGATCATAGATGCAAAGACTGGCCCCTTCGCTCATGCCGGCTACTCGTTACGTCTCTAAACAACTAGCTGATTGGTCGGTACTCGATCAAGGCGAGACCGCCGATCGAAGGGGGTCCCGGCGGAAACGTTTACGATCGTACGAGGAGAACCCCCGGGGATCGGCGTCCACGCGATCGAACAGGGATATCCCATTCGCACTGCTCACCAAGAGATCCCGTTCTAGAGTTTTATCGGCTAGCCTATTTTGGCACAAACAGCACATCATGCCCGAGCCGGCATTCGCTTTATTTTATTTTATTTTTTTCACAGTTTCGTCATTCCCCCTGCCTTGTAGGTCGCTGCGCGGTTCTCGGCTTGGAGAAACTCCTTTTCCTACCCTTTTATATAGTTCAATATCCGTCAAAGTCGCGCGACACTACATTCAACGTGAATACAACTCTTTCGCTCCATTTCTCTCTTTCTCTCGCACTCGCGCAATTACTCTCTCGCTTTCTCTCCCTCCCTCTCGCTCGTTCAGTTACGCCTTTGCATAACAGTCTCCTTCCAACACACACTAATCCTTTTCCTACTTCTCTCTACGATCAGTTATGTTATATCAGTAAAATTTAATTGACTCCAACAGAACGTCGATTAGACAGAAACCCGTGGGGTTTGCCGGCGCGCGCGCGGCACGTTACGTTTAAGGACTTCAGGATTCTTATTCTTAACAGAAACAAAATCAATTGTTCTCAACGTCGCGACGCCCGATCTAAATTCCGTTTCGCGCTTCTCGACGAGGACACCTCAGACACCTCGAAAACCACCCCAATCGATCTTGCACAGTTCTACTAAATCCCCGTAAATACGATTCTAGTGTTCTATTACTTTGCTTTTCTCTTCAACGCTTTGTCCAACAAGAACTCAACGTTGCAAATGGTTCGTTTAATCGAACGATGATTCGCCTGCTCGAATACCAATCTACATATGTGCGATGCTTCCTCGAGATGTTTGCTTGTATTTACGGGGAACCCTTACAATCGCCGACTACTGAAGGAATGCTTTGATATCAGGAACTCTCTCGATGGGGTGGATCAAAGCTCGTCAAACGATGGATCTATCGTTGGCACAGAGACATGATAGTACCTCTCTCTTCTTCGAATACTGTCCATCGATACGAACCATCCTCGAGGTATCCTGAGTGCCACTCGTTGATTCGCTACGACCGGCACCAACTTTCCGCGCGCGCCCCGTACATTGCAAACTTTTTAATTAGCGATATGTTCAACGGTTCACTCCTTCCTCTCCTAGTCAATTACTTATCTAGTCGCTTACTATACGATTAAGATCCTAACACATGCCTAAGCATCTATTCTAACTAAGAAATCTGCGCGCATTCAGTTGTATCTATGCGTCTGTATGTACTTGTGTGTATGTGTACGTGTGTATGTATAAATTAGAGGGCGGTCGAAATATTTATCTTCGCGCGCGGCGCGTGCATGAGTGTGTGTGTGTGTGTGTGTGTGTGTGTGTGTGTTTCTTGTGTCTGTGTACGTATAACTGCATAATTGTACGGTCTCGTAAAGACGCGGATACGTGTGCGAGTGCGTTATAATACTTATCTCCAAACTGAAACGTACAAATTATAAAAATGCCATCTGTGACGACCGTATGATGACGCGCGCAAACGCGTCGCGTGGGTCTGCGGAGCGGAGAACTCGCCTCGGTCATTGAACGTTCAGACACCGCTCGATCTTCCCCTAAAAAGCGTTCGACTTCGCCGAATAGTCGAGAATACTGCAGGTACCTTCGGGAGTGAGAAATACGCCCCGCGAAGAAACATAAAACATAGATCGAGCGGGCCAGATACGTTCGGAGTAGCATATTCCAATTAGGATTGCTCTCAGCACGCAACGAACGACTTTGATAATTGCTTCGCTTCCGCCTTACGAACGGATCAACCAATCGCGATAAGTAACGGATACGGGAAGAATTTTGAAGGCCGATTCGGCGCTCCGCCGTTTTCAACTCTCCTCTCCAATTTTGGCCGCTGCCAATCTCGCGACGTAAAATCAACGAGGGCGATCGGTTCGTCGGCGAAGTAGTAGTACCTCGTGTAAGCATGCAAAAGGTCCCGTGACATTGGCCATTTTCTCTTATTTAGATACCCGGTCAATTAAAACACGTCGTTCCCGTCGTACTCGATCGGTCAGCCTCGTCGATCGTATGTCTCGCCCTCGAAACGGAACGGAAGCCACGAAGAAGTACGCTCGGTCGCATGTGTGTTTGGTCGTCAGAAGAATGAAGATTGTCTCGTGGTAAACGCTGCTGGTTCACGGTAGTCGGCCGTCGCGTCACGCGTGAACGTACGACGATCGTCTTGAGATACCTCGCGGTCCATTTGTTCCCACTTGGTTTTTCTCCTCGAATCCGCTCGTCGAACGAGCACGTTGACGACGGAGACCTACTTCCGAACTGTGATATACGGACGCCGTCGCGCGCGCTTATCGCGAGATGGTCGCCCTTGTGTCCACGTAACTTTGAAAAATTCTTAACCGTAATCACTGTAGCGGTTTGGGCCGCGCGATCATGAATTTTACATGTATAATAATATATCTTATCTTTCCTAGCGTTAACTCTGTACAAGAGTCGAGGACTGTTCGCCACTGTGCTGTTTCCTCGCTCCCGTCTAATCCTAATCTCTCTTCCCTCTCTTACACATGCTTTCTCTATGTATGCCCGGCTGCTAGGCTCTTTGTTTTATTTTGCATATCTCTCTCTCTTTCTCACTTTCTCTCTTTGTGTTTCTCTCTTCCTGTGACGGTCCTGGCTTTCATAAGAATAATCACGTTATTCTCTTTCTCTCTCTTTCTCTCTCCTTTCCTTTCCCGCGATCCTTGTCTGTTTCTAAATTCCTCACATATTTCTAAAATTATGAAACTGTCGCGTTAATACGCTCGAAAGCCAGCACCGGAAACTACCTTCGAGAAGGCCGTCGCGAATTTGCCTCTTTATCGTTTAATTTGAGCGCTTGCAGCCCTGGTACATCTCGAAACACCCTAGCAACACCCTTCAAATCGTCAAAATCAACCGGATGCGAAAATAAGTGCGTGCCATATAGTACGTCTCAACAACAAGGGCAAGGCCTCGAAAACATCCTAAGCTCGCTCGGACGAGGTAGCTCCTGTCCACTTGTGCTGCTTCAAAGTCTGAGTACGACGCAGTCTCGCATGGGTTACACGCGCAGTGCAGGCCAGCAACAGCGTAGCGACTCTCGCAGGAACGGACGAGCACCTGAGTGGATCCAACTACGTGACCATCAGTCATAGACCGAAGCGGGTGACCAAAGGGGAACTAGGGCGTATGGCTGGTACCATTGCTGCTCGTGCGGTGGCGATTCTTGTTAGATGTTGCTCTTGGAGAACGACACTCTGAGGTGGTTGGACTCGCTAAGCTGATAGTTGTGCATTTTCTGTGAAAGAGGAAGAACGAATCGATTTTATAGTCAAACAACTGAAATTTACATTTCACGGATTTGACTTTAAATTAGATTTCAAGTAAAGTTGAAATATTTTCGTTCTACTTTCTTTTTCTTTAAAAATACTTGCGATAGATATGGAGGCATGCTGTGAGGAAAACCGATATGTATATTTTTTATAAACTCGATGTCTTGAGGAATTTTATTTTTAGTTGCAAAACATCAGGATTATTGTTTCTTGTAAAAGTAATGAATTAATTATGGAAACTACTTATAATCACAGTGGAGTGCTGAATAGTTTAGTATTATTTGTTTGTTGAGCAAAAAATCCGATTTTGATTCTCGAAATTGCAACCCCATAAATATAACATTAGAAATGTGAAACAGAAAAATATTCCACTCTGTAGAAACAAAGTACCGAAAACATGAATTTAATCCTAAAGAGATAGACAAATTACGGCACTGCGTTGTATGTTAAAGGGGGGATAGAAAATTTTGTAATAATAATAATAAAATAATATAGATATCTTTTTAGATAAACATGTATAAAATTCTAAACTTATGAAGATTAATATTAATACTGAAGAAGGGCCTAACTTGAGGCCGAAACGTTTATTTCATTGTTAATGGATAGAAATATAAAATTCTAGCGAAGAACATCTTGCGTTGTGGTGTATGCCTTTAAATAAAACTTTCTGTTAAAATAATATAAATAAATTTTAAAAACAGAGCTTCTCTAAAGTAAAAATTGGGCAAGAAACTTATAATCTTTTTTCATAAAAATTGCAGCTATAATGAAATTAAGGAGCAAGTCAAGATCCGCATAAGCTTTTCATTAGAAGATCACAGTTCAACTTGGGCTATTGATGACAACAATGATGACTTACGATCAGCGCAGCCACGGCATCGTCCATGTTAGGCATTTGTATGAGAGCCATCTTCCTGTCCTTCGGGAAGAACTTGAAAGCTTTCACGGTGAAGCCGTTCTTGGTGAAAGCATCCTTGATCTCTTCCTCCGCTACCGTAGCCCTGAAAGAGAGCAAATTGAATGTCGTTAAGCCACCAAAAGAAGCAGCGCGAAATATGTATTGTTGTTGGATTACTCACGGAATGTTTGATAAATGCAGGGTCGAGCTCGGCGGATAGATGTTCTGATAGTTTTTCGAGCCAGGTTTCTTGAATCGATGAAGGGTGCTGTTGGTGTAATCTTTCGTGAGGCCCGCGTCTGGCTGACCTTCTTTTGGCAATTGAACCGTTTGGTGTTTGCTGAGCATTACTTTGATTTGCTTTCCAAACACTCTTAACTTGTCCATATGGGTTAGCGCTGTCATATAGATTAAACAATGTTAAATAACCATTGATAGGTTCGAATGTTAACATAATTACAGTAATAGTGTTTAGGATCTTTATATAAAAAAAAAAATATAATTTTTTTTTTATATAAAGATCCTAAACAGCTATAAAAACTGTATCTAAACTTTAAAACGTCTTGTTTCAAGTACAAAATGCTTTGTAAATCTCTGTTTTAAGCCTACGGCACACGATATAGTTTTTCTTACCAAATTGCTTGCACGTCAGTAAATTAGAAATTCTATGTGTGATGCAACTCTAATAGTTTACTAAAATAAAAGCAATCCAGCAGGAAAAAATGCATCATGTGCCATAAGTTTTACGATTATTGATAAATGAAATTTCAAAGATGTTTTTATTGACAATTTAGAACTTCATAGTACTAATTGTATAGATTGTACACTGAAAAGAGTATTGGTTGCATTTTAAATTGGGATTTTGGTTAAAAATGGACAAATCAGAATTTTCTGGTTGTGTCCATTATAATTCTAGTTGAGATAGTCAGAATTCTGATTGATATGATCAGAATCTTCTTCATTTTCAACCAGAAATTTTTTTCAGTGTACAAGTGATCCACTGCCGTAGTCGAGGGTTAAACAAATGAATTATTTACAAGACAAAACGCAATTTCGAGTTATTGTTGCACATAGCTAAAAAAATGTCCACTCACCTAAAAGCGCCTGATGAGGTTCGGCCATCTGTATTAGTGCCGAGTCTTTCTTGTTGTAGAGGATCTTCACACGCTGTACATCCCCGTAAACGCCTATATGCACAATACGCAAATTTCTCTTTAGTAAACTCGGGTGGTGGCGACAAACCGCGTATTCTTTTTAGAGAGGCTGCTTTAGGGGTTATCGAAGATGAACGGGACAATATTTCAATCGATCGAAATCGGGGTACGATCGGATCTAAGAATCGGAACATGCAAGAGGCGAGCGATTCGGCTAGAAGCTTTATTTTCAGAGTACAAAGTTACACGGTTTACAAAATAAAAAATTGTAATTATTTATATTAATAGTCTCTTTGATACTTTTATATTTCCGAATGTACATCATTTTTATGGAACATTCTCTTTTTTAATAATAATTTGCTAATAAAACTAGAAAAAAAGCTAGAAGTTATAAATAAATAATTCGCAATTATGAATCTTCATAATCCAGTAAATTTTTGTTAAAATAAAACGCATTAAAAATCAACGAAACAGCAACAATTTATTATATGTGTTTCCACGAAGTTTAATTCATTTAAATTTTACATTTTTCGATATTACGTAGCTGCCGAGCGAAGCGAATGAAATTTTCGCTGGCTAAAAGTCGAAAAATGGATGTCTACGGGACGGACAGAAAATTTTTAATAATTTTTTAAAACGCACTGTGTAACGCAGTACGTGACTTTTGTACGTTCGTCTGCAATTATCCGGGAAAATCTGCATAACAATCGCTCACGGAAAGAAGAAACACGACCGCAGCCGAGTCGCTTCGCCTCGTTAATAGTGAGTTTCCTATGGAATTACGTAAAATAAGCGAAAGCTTACGTAATATTAAAGGTTGTGTGGAACTGATATTAATAAAATATTAATGAAATAATCTGTATAAAGAGATGCTTGGAAATAGAGATCTGTGAGAGAACGTGTTCGGTGCCGATATGGCGGCATGACGATGGTAATGACGGTATGACGGGTGATCATGAATTTGCGAATGGAGTAGCTTGTAGTAATAAAATAAGTTGAAATCACGAAAATATCGAAAGAGTACGGATTAAACGTTAATCAGAGTTATGTTATGGCGGATGTCTCACGGAGAGTAAAACATGACGAGAGGGAAAGAATGACGATGCTCGAGTTTTGTGAGTTGCCGAAAAGAAAAAAAAGAGAGTGAAAAAACCATACAAATAAAACGAAAAAAAAATGGAGTGAAATAAAAATAAAACCGAGGAAGAAGGAAGAGATCTTTTCTTTCTTTTACTATTTTTCAGTATGAAACGTAAACCTCGGACGTGACAATCGTATGAAAGAGATTCTACGTTGGCGTGTTCCGTTTTGTGCGTGTAACACGTTTGTCTTGTTCGTCTCTATCGCGAAGAATATGACTACGTGACCGAATAAAAAAAAAAACGTTCAGACGAATGTCTTCTTCTGCCATTTTCTACCTCTTTTCTTTTTTTTCCATTTCGATTAAATTCGCGTGTACAGCGAAATGTCTCCGGGACGTATGTGTCCGCGTATCGCGCGTCCGTGGATTCCGTGTAATGTGTTGCGTAGGTGTGAGAGCGCGAGGGTGTAAATATAATAATTAATAATGTAATATAATTAATAATATAAATGTGGAGACGTACCAAACAGGGTAAAGAGAGCGTCAGGCGTGACCATCTACACAGAGAACAGACAGAGTCCAGTCAGTAGTCAGCGAGTATAATAGGATATAAATGTATAGTGTTGATGTGCGCACAAGATTCGCGTTTTTCAAGCACATAGCTACGAAAAAGAAATGCTACGTGCAAAATTGTTAGGACAAGAAAAAAAAACATTTTCTTAGAGCGTGTATACAGATGTATGTAATTATCCACACGATTGATTTTTCAACAAATTCCGATAGAAACGCGTGGTCATTATCTTTTTTTTTTTTTGCAAAAATTGAAGACGGTCGAGAGTCGTCAGACTGCGAGGCTTGTGCGCGACACAACGATAGTAGTACACACAGTTATAGTACAGTAGTGACAAGTTGCAGCTGCGAAGTGTGACGTCGACACACAGTTTCTTGCCGAGGCGACATTCATCATCCCGTTGAAGCTTCTTACGCGATAATGTTCGTCGTTTTTGTCATCGAACGCTACATCTAAGTTCGTATGCAGGAGCTGATAACGAGGGGCATATATAAATGCAAAAAAACGTAACAAAGCATAGAATTGTTCAAACTAGATATTAAAAATACAATGTTCATTCACGGAATTATGAATGATTCAAATACTGTGAACCACAAAGTATGAGAAAGTAAATCGCGATAAATGTCGCCTCGCAAGAAGTAACGTCGTTTAGTCGACGACGCTACGAATTAATTAGGGCGCAGGATGGTGACACGTTGGAGTGATTTGTATGTGTTTCGAAAATGAGCGGGGCAAGTAGGGAACAGAATCAAAGGTTTCGTGACGAAACAGGGCACATACGCATCGCGGCTCGATTTTTCCACCTACTCGACTGGAGGATCCACGACTTGGAGAGTCGTTCCATAATTTCAAATCAAGCATTTTTCTCTTAATTCTAAAACAATTTAACATCCTTGTTGTTCAATTTTTTGTTCTACATATTTACAAAAAGTATTTGTCAATTTGACAATGTTTGTGGTAATTTTCCATCTCGGTAACAAACGTAAATACAGATTACAAATTTTCTTAGACATTAGCGGTCGATTTTGAATGTGTGCATATTGTCGAGTTTGCAAAGACAATCTCCTGTCTTGAAGTTCGCAGTTGGCAAAATCAGCCGAAGCTCAGCCTGGTGGAAAGATCGAGCCGGAGAGTCGAGAAATTGCGGGGTTCGCCTACGTAGCACTACGTTGTAACTCGCTCGTTAGGCCGTGTAATTATACGTGTATGCACGTGCGTATATACCGGATGGAGGTTGACTGGGCTGGTTGGTCCCGCGTGTCGCACACTGAGAGAAATAGCGTGCGGTCTCTTAGGGGTATGTAACGGGGAGTACGAGAGCGCCCGAGAGGTGGGAACGAGAAGAGAATAGAGAGGGAAAAGTGAGATGGTACAGAGAAGATAGAGAAGAGGGGGTGGCGCGTAAGTGTGTCGCACCGGGCAAGGTAATGTTCTCGTGATAAAGATACGGGCGGACCAGGGGCTTTAATACACAAACACGCGCCCACATACACGCATACACACTGCATAGAGATGACAGATGCCATACAACAGATATATTATTCGCATACAACACACTTATTCGTACGTGGTGGCGGCCTACTTCTCTCAGTGCTCGAGATCTACTCGAACGACTCGCGCAACACCCCCATTGTCGTGTACGTGCATCGTTTAACACTTTGTCTTGTTAAATATATGTACACTGAGAGAAAAATAGTTACAATTATTATAATTTAACTAGAATTTATAGTCATTTTTAAGACAAATTATTTTTTTTAATAAAAGTAAATATGACATAACAAATTTTGATCAACTGTTTGTTTCTCAATAAGTAATAAGCTAATAAGTGTTTCTTATAGAGCTTTTTACACTGAAAAAGAATATTCTTTCCAAAAAAGTCTCACCACCTCTCACATTTTAAAAACTTTAGTCCAAATTTCTGATATAATAACGCAAATATTCGTAATAAATGTAATGTAACTATGAGAAATTGAATTGTTTTTTAAAATACATAAAAATAAATACAATGATATAAAGCTCCTTTTATTATTTATGTACAACTATAAATCATATATTAAAATAATCAAATTTATTGGCAATATTTAAAATCAAGAATTACACTAATTTACAAGAGTTTCCGTTTATCTGAAATCATATTTGAAAGATAATTTTTCTGTTTTATTCTATAAGATAAAAGGAAAACTGTTATATAAAAATTTTAGTTTATTAGGTTTTTTTAAATAAAGTGTTTGGTTTCTCAGAATATATATGTTGTTATAACTTTTTGTAATCTTATATTCTTTTTCAGTAGCTAAACACATATAGGAATCACCATTTATAGGTGTTAAAAAACAGAAACCTTGTAACACGATGTTATTGTTACTAATGTTATAGCAGTAATAACGGTAAAACTAACCATAATTATTTGACCATGTAATTATAATCACAAATACCAAACACTTTTCCCTCAATGCATCGTTGTTTCTAGAAATCTACGCTGTATTCATCATCTCGTACGCTTAGTCGGAACTAATTCTCTTCCAACTGAGAAGAGAACCCAAGCCAAGACGCGATTGGTCTCGACAATTTCGAGATTTTACATGAATACAGCGCAGATTTTTATAATACAAAATTATCTTAGCAAATCGAAACAAAAGGTTAAACGAACACAACTCAGTGGAAACGGAATCTTCCATCTCCTCTGCATTCAATGCAATTCTGGTTGATAGGAAGGTGGTACACGAAGAAAATTTCCGGATGTAGAAAACGGGGAATATCTCTAGATAATTACGATAATTTACCAGAAGATCTTTAATTGCAGTCGCGAATAGAGGTATAAACTTTCCAATTCTTTCAAACTTTCTCGGATTTTCTTCATGTATACCAGGCCAGAGTTTTATACGATCTCTCGTTTTTGGAGAACAATCGAAAGTATCGAGGAGAACGGGGTCAGGATGGAAGTTGAGGTCTCGAAATACTTACCTCCTCGTTGAGATTGCTGACGAGCAGCACGGCCGATGCTTGCGCGCTTCCTTGGACCCGGACACCTAGACCAGCCGCGCCGAGAGGGAATCCGCCGAGGCCGGCAAGTCCGCCGGCTGGAGGTACGCCGTTGTAAGGCCCGGCCAAGGGCGAAGCGAGACCGTGCATCGCAAAGGGCGTGGGCAGCACACCCGGTGCCCCTGCAATGGACTCTACTTCAGGAAGTTCAGACGACATTATTATCATTGTTGATATTGCGATTGAAAAAAAATTAGAAAGAAAAGAAAGTATACAAGTCGCGATGGACGAAGATCGAGCGCGATCCTGTCTCCAGAATTTCTGGAATCGTAAAATCCCTCGTAAAATTCGAGCGTAAACCGCCGCGTTTCTAATTACAATTCATCGAACGGTCGTTTCCGCCGATACTTCAACGATCTCCTCTCGTCATGTAATTAATCGCGCTTCTTCATCATGGTTTTCGGAGACCGACCGACCGTCACGAGATCGCCTCAATCCTCAGTCATCAACGGACTGTTTGCGCAACGAGATAGGACGCAAAAGTGGATTACATTGTTACAGATTAAATACCAACAACAACGCCGTGAAATTAATTTAACCCAAACAAGCGCCGGGCCGAGCGTGTAATTTAAACTAGCCGTTGTCGCCGCGATACAAACGCAAAAATCCAGACGATTCGGCGAGCCGGATCGTCCGCCGAGTACTTTGTACTAATTAATTAATTTACCCGAGGAAATAATAACGTCCGACTGGTGCACATAGCGGACAGAATGTAGTTTGAAACGCCAGCAAATTGCTTCTACCATCGTGAGATAATAATAATAATTCAGCCCGACGTCCGAGTGACGTAAAATCGGTATCACTACTAACGTAATTAATTCCGATAAACGTAACGCCGTTAATTGGCCGATCAACCTTTCAATTATACCTTTCACAAAGCTACGCGAGCTTTTACATTAGCTAAATAAAAATACAAAAACGTCTCAAATTCATTCGGAATAGACGTTTTAACGGCGATGAATCCCCGTAAAGCTCGCCTGTCACGAGCTACTGAATACATATTCAACTATTATCAGGTTATTATTATTACACGAAATTGTATAAGAGTAATGTAATTCATCGCTTATACGTTTCGTGGAATATTCAGAATTGCTTCGGTCGAATTTCGCTAGCGTTTAATAGCGATGAATTTTGCAAAGCAATTTTGAATGCGAACTATATAACTATATTTAATTATTATTGAGCATTACTGTACAAAATTTTCCCCGATTAATGCGTTTATCGATCACACGTGGTCTGTTCCACATTGTATAATGCATTATACATATGTACATAATTTGGACATATGTATATATATATATATATATATATACAGTAACGAGTAAAAAAAATGGGCGACTCTATTTTGTCTACATAATTGGTATCTCATTGTCAATGGCATCATAAATTTTTACGGTTAGATAAATTATCGAATTAAATAAATATTTTATTAAGCAATTTTTATGATATAAACTTGAGAATATCCAGCAATATTTTCAAAGTTGATAATTTTGTGCATTAATGGGAATAAAATGATTGATAGTATGAATAATAGATGTATAATGCTATAATCAAATTAACTTTTTATTGTTTTTTTATTGATTCAAGTTTCTGTATAGATAAAAAAATTAGAAAAATATATGAATTAAAAAAAACGAGTTATTTTATAATAATTTCTTTATCTTTTATAATTAAGTATTCTTAGTACACGTAGATTGCGCGTTGCTGAATAACAAATGTAAAAATGATATTAATATCTATACTAGAAAATGAAATATAATGAAACTTTCAGATCACGCATTTTTTTGTTCGCTCCGTTCCGTAAAGACCATAACAACGATTAAGGGTAAATTCTTGAGATAATTTCGAGAGGGAAACCCTAATATCGAAACTCGAAAAACCAGTTCTTTAATCATTATTATTATAACTATTATTATTCAAAAATTAAAGCTCTTATTCGAACTATCAAAAACTATTTTTTGTAGTCTCAACATTTTAATATTTATAGAATTTCCATCTCAAATAAACTCACAAAATAACCCACGGAAGTGTCCCTCTTCGATTTTGATGAGTTTTTATGTTGTTTTTTAAACAAAAATAAGGACACATTTTTTATAAGATTAATCGACCAATCACAGTAGAAAACTTTAAGTTCTTCATTGTGATTAGCTGATTCGTTTACTGCTTAAGTCTTATTGTCTTATATTTTTTTATGTTTCTGGCTCAAATGTTGTCACGGTCTTTACGGGATGCTTATGTCCATAAATAATTAAAAGCGATTCATTAGGTAAAGCAAACGTGATTGAAATCGAATATTAATATTGTAAATTTCAGGTATGAATTTTACAATACTCACCGGGTATTCTGGCACGCGGTTGGGAACCGGCACCCATGAGCAGCAATTCGCCGCCAAGAGCGAGCGATGCCGCATCCAGACTGGCGTCACCGGTCGGAAGATTCGGATTAGTGTAATCCCGAGACTTGTCGTTATTGTACTTAACGTTCAGATTTTGCATCTTGCTGTAGTCGATGCGCAGCGTGCAGCAAGAGTTGTAGACATTCTGCCCGTCGAGCGACTGCACAAGAAATTGTAGAATACTTTGTGATTTGAGAAGATCGAGATAGGGATATGTTTAAGCTCAGAACACACGGTGGCAAAATATAGAACCAATAGCGACTCAAACATCAGTCTTTTATATTTTTAAAAATTCAGTCGCTTTATAAATAACTTTCCATTAGCTTAATATATTTAAAACTTCAATAAAATTGAGATACTTGTAATTATCTATTATGTCATTTTTATAAAGTATAATAGAATAGCAATTACACATAAAATTTAGATTAAAAAATATTAAATCTTTTAAGAAATGGATTGTTCTATTGGATCGTATTATCGGACCAAAATTTTTCTATTAGTTTCAAAGATAAAAAAGTCTCGTGAAACACACATTGCAACAAATCAAGACCAAAAGAGAAGTTAGCTTTATAAGCGAAAAAGTTTTGAGAGATCAAAAGAAGGTGTGAACGCTGAAGAAATTTAAAGAAATCCAGAAAACCGATTCTACCTTAACGATTCTTGCGACGAGATTCACGAGAAATAAAAAGAACGATTTTGTTAAAAAATATTAAAAAATTTAGTTAAATACAAATCTAAAAACAATTATTTTGATAGTTAATAAAATTATTTTAGATCTAGCCAAGATTGCGTTTTGTTTTACGCTTACAGCGCTTGTAAGCATCATTCATTCTTGCTTAATAATGACAGACAACAAGGATGAATTGATGCTTATAGCACGTGAGCATGAAAACGGAACGTATCCTAAATTTTCAGATGCTTCGGTTGGTAGAAGCGTTCTTTCCGTGTACGAGTCTGATTTCTCGGATTAGATCCGAGGTTTCCGCTAATCAACATCCCCCGCAATATTAATCCAAGTGCTTCTGAGACGTACGTCGCAATGTAGGTACGTTGCAATATATCACGCGCGCGAACGTTTCGTACGCTTAATACGGACACAAGCGGGATTCAGGTCGCTTGTTTGAGCAATGCGCACGGTGCGCATTGCGCGCGACGAAACCGCGCCGCGCGTCCGCGTATCCCCCGGGGTATCACGCGGGTATACATACACCCGACCGCTCCATATTTACACGGGCTAATGAATTTCGTACATAATTAGCGGGTCGGCCCGCGCCGCGAGCCTCAGGCGTGCGCGCATGGCGCGGCGCCCGATTTCTCTCTTTCTCACTCTGCTCCTCAGGCGGTTTATTCATAGCCGAGAGAACACTGATAATGCATAATCGAGAACGAGACGGATCAGTTTTTTTGCAAATACGAAACACGTTTTCCTTTGCTTTTCAAAAGAGATCCGCAATTAAAAAAAAAGACTGTTCCAATTTCAACTAGAAAAGATTCCGAGTTAATATGTATTCTTAAATCTCGATTGTTGAGCAATTATTTTTTACGCGGTAGTGTAAAATACTTGAAAAGTCAGATTACACACATCAAAATCATTCCGCTGTTAAGAAAAAGGATTACTTTACAATTGGTTTACTTTTATCTTTTAAGTAAATCTTTTAAGATACCTTTAATAAAGAATTGTCTAATCTTAGTAATAGTTTTAAAATATACTTACAAATTTTAGAGAAAAACTCATATGCTCGAAACAAGAATTAGTTTTCTTTTAAAGAATGTCACAAAACTTTATTGAAAAAACAATTTTATATAATAAGCAAATCGAATTTGTTTTAATTTAATAATCTTGATTAAAAAGTATTATATAAACTTGCTATATAATTCAAAATATATTTTGAATAAATTTGATGCTCGTGATGAACTTATGATAAATTTGCGGATATATGAACTTTTAAAATATTTAAAACAAGTAATTAATATTTGAATACAGTATGCATCTTTCTCTGTGTATGCATAATCGAAACAAGAGAATCGGTTTTATAAATATGGAACAACGTATTTCCCTTAACTTTTCGAAAGATTAGCAATTAAAAAATAAACGGTTCCAATTTAAACTCCTGATCCTGAGTTGAAATGTGAATTTCGATCTTCGAGATACATATTACATATATAATTTGAACAGATCTATTCTATGCGTTTGCGTAAAAAATTCGACAAAAATCTGACTGGTAGCCGAAGCGACGTACAGTTGCCGTTTCGTGCTTTTGCACGCGCGTCGAGGAAAAAAAAAAGAGGAAAGAGAAGAAAGGCGAGTGGAATGAGCGAGAAAAAGGAGAGGAAAATCGGAGAAGAGTGATATCCGCAACAAAGCTAAATTAATTTTCTGTCTTGCGCGCTACCAGGTTGGTTCGCGGTGGAACCGGTATATTTCAAGCGAATTAATTTTCCCTTTGATCATCGCACAGGTTTACTAGTTTGCGGCGCCGAGCTTATGGCACGGGTGGTGAGGCACGAAGAGGGCTAGAGGGGCTTTCGAACGGGGGTGGTGGATTCGAATGGAGTGCGGGGACGGGAAGGGACGGAAGTTTCTGGCGAGCTTCCGTTCGCGATGGCTTGTCGTTACCGGTGTAAAACAACGCGGCAACACATCCCGCACGACGCGAATACGCCGACATAGTTAATTCCTAATGTAATTTCCAAGTGCGAATGTCATGAAATGCCTGCAGCCGCACCACGTTAATCCATTCGGATCTGCTTGTCCTTTCCTATCGTTATAAAATGTCTTTTATAGATATGTCATTTCCGTTCTATTTTAAACGAATCTTGAAATAAAGGTGGAGATATCTTGGCGTATTCTGTACCAGTCCTATTGAATAATTCCTATTGAATAAAATGTTCATTTATACCAATTAGAGTAATTTTAATCTTGGTTTGACTTATCTACTTTGTACCTTTTTCTAGTTCTAGAGAATTAGGAAAAGTTAAAAAGCAAGTAAACTCGAGATTAAAGTTAATCTACATTGGTAGAAATGGACATAAGTGGCGGACTTTAAATGATAGTGATTGAATAACAGAGAAAATTAGTACACACATTTCGGTATTTACACCGGCGAAGTGGGTTGCGTCACATCACTTCACAAAAGTTATCTAGTATCTCAAACACTCATAAGACAGCTGGGAGAAGTCGAGTATAATAAAATCATAATATGTACAATAGATTTCAAAAACGAAGGGGAAAAGAAAAATTGTTTAGATCAACAAAAAGAAAGCCAAACTTAACGTACACAGTTACGGTCAGGAGTCTGAAAGAGTTAATTCGAGGTTCCTTTTTTGCTTGAGAAAGAGAGTTTATGAAATTCTCTTCGTTTTCCTAAATTGTTCAGAGTGAAACTAATTTTGCGGAGGTGTTCTACATTTTATGGTACAACGTGCGTTGTTAGGAAACTGTGTGATATAGACGGATATTGCGGAAATTAGTTGTAATATTCATAATAGACAAAGTCTCGGAACAGAAACTATACACGCACATTCTCCATTTTTTGTTTTCAAGCAGTGTCCGCTTTAATGCTGCAAGTCTCTCAACTTCCTTAAGGAGAGAAAGGTAGTTATCGTCAGGACACGTGGGGTACTTTAACTCGTGATTACAGGGACGAAACGATTACGTAGGGAATTACAGGTAAAACAAAATTTACGGCAGAGACACAACTCGTAGTACCTTAAGCAGCGGCAAGTTTAATGCTACAGCTTTCTCAACCTCCTTGAAAGAAAAGAAAAATACAAGTAGTTATCATCAGAATATGGAACTTTAAATCTTGCGAGTTAAACGATTACGCGGCGATTATTATAAAGTTAAAGGTCTAATATAGTCCTTTTTTTTTTTACGAAGAGATACAATGCTATAACCAAAGTCTACATCATTGATATTCGTGCGAACAGTGCGAGGAACAGAGCGAGAACAACACGATCGATCGCGCATCTGTGGTCTGCTTCAAGAATTAATTTGGTTTGCAAAGCAGCCGATATTTCCATAAATCCGGGGAAATACCGTGTATCGGGCGTAACCGCGCGATCTTCTCGTTCCTTCCCCTCCACCCTCGACGGGATTCCTTCTTCCGCCATCAATCTTTCGATTACATTCATCGGGCTTACTTCCGGCAATTAAGCCCCACGCCGTGGCTTTCGTCGAGATGAGCGGATCTCGGAAAATATTTTCCCAACGCGAGATATTCCGCAGAAAATTTCGATCTGTCCCGTGGGAGCTCAACGGATAAGCACCGCCGTAACGGCGGAGATGAAGAAAAAAGTAACTAAAGAGGGGTAAAAAAAAAGAAAAAAAAAGAAAAGACAAGAACGAAAGAACGAAGAAAAAAGAGGAAGACAACGGGCGCACCGATGGCGGAAGGATGAAATGAAGGAAGGACGCACCAGGCGGCGACTAGAGTGGAAGCAAAGTCAAGTGGATACTTACGAATTTAGCGGTCTGCGCCGACAGCATGTCCGCGTACTGTATTAGTGCCTGGAAGGAGCCTGGAACACAGAAGCGATAAAAACCGTGAGACTACGTCGTCCGTTGGTGAATTTTACGAGTTTCCCGCACAAGCCGCGCTCGAGATCGCAAAAGAATAGATAGTCGCGATGGCCGATAAATTCATCTCGAATGGTAAAACGAAAGCGGCATTGAGCGGGAAAATACATCAGAAACAACGAAAGAATGATTTATATGCGCTGGTATCTAAAAATTTAGTTAAATAGATCCATAAATAATTATGCTAAACCATCAAAATAATTATATAGAACACATAAGGATGTATTATATATAGGTATTTTAAAATCAAATTTAAAAATTATGAAAAAGTAACAAATTTTTTCTATATTGTATTTGCAAAAATAATATAAAAAATTTGATAGTAATTTAGAACTTGAATAAAAAATTATTTTAATCAGAAGTAGACATATTTTTAAGAAACTTAATATATAAAGTAACATTTTCATTTAAACTATAAAATTATATTGCTAAATACATTATACATATATTAAATATTGATCTTATTAAACTATATTTCATTAATTTATATATATATATATATACGGAAAATTTAAATTTCCAATTCCAGTAATTTCTGCAAAAATTATACATCTAATACATCTTTAAGTGTTGCTGACAATGATGCAAAAGTTTCAACATTCTGTGATATTCAACAAACAGTTCAAGCGTTATATTTGTTCGGTCTATATAATTATTTTGAGAGTCTAAATAAAATTTTTTTTATCTATATCTAGTTAAATTTTTATATATTTCAACACACACACAAAACCGTTTTTTCAGTGTAGTAACGATTTTTATATAATAATAATGTAATTAATAATACATTTTAAGAGATGGAAACGCAAAATTTCATTACTTTTCTTATTCCGCTCCCTAATGGCGTATTGCGCAATTTTGCATGATTTGCGTAACGTAAATAACAACTCCGTAAAAGTGGCCGGAGCCTTTCTGTCGTAATAGCAAACCTTCAAGGTATAAAGTAAACCCGTAAAAACCAAAAAATGAAAATTACGAGATATTCTGTGAAACACGTTGGAAGCGCAAGGCGCGCAAAACGCCATCGAGAATGCAGCTCTAAATGCAAAATATGTAAACTCTTGAAAATTTGATTCGGAGGAGAAAACCGTATATTTTTTTTAGCGTTAAATACGTGTGGTATTTGAAGTACCGACTGGATTCTGGGTACAAAAAGCGGTGATTTGTTAATTTAGTGCGCGACCGCTGCGAGAAACTAACTCTGTCATGATAATACGTTTTTCCCGTGCGGCCGGAAAGCCGGAATTGTTTCGTTAGCAGCGTTGACCAAAGTTCCAGCCGGCGGCTACGCTATTTCATTTTCAAATTTGCTCCACCGTGATAATGGAACTCTTTACAATAATACGCTAAAGTCCAAACATGTTCGCGTGCGCACGCGCGTGCACGCACACCCACACGATTTCACGCTGATAGAAACCTTTTATTTTCCTGAATCCAGAATTATTCCGTATGTAGGATTTTATGCGAATTAAGAGAAATGTTTGATTAAATTTGCCGCAGCATATATATGGCGCAATTGTACGACGTCGGAGTAAAATATACATAAATAAAATATTCATAAACGTTGTAAAATTAACGAGTTTGCCGATTTAGCTACGTCAAAGTTTTTTCTGAAAATTACCTATTAGATTTAGCGAGATGATTGATTGATGTATCTATTAAAAAAGTAACAACTCCCTAATTGATAATCGGCTACCGACGTTTAATTTATCATGTTTGTTTTACCACACTATAAAAAAATTCAGGTAAAATTACAATAATTATAGTAGATAATTTTGGGGCTCACTGTTAAAAATGTATATTTACACATGTATAAATAACAACTTACAAATAAAATTATTCTTCTTTAAAGTAATTATATAATTTGCAAAAGCAAATTTACAATCGAAGTTTAATTTGTAAAAATATTTACGTAATAATTCAACAATGAATTATGCATTTATATAAGTTACGTGTATGTATAAATGTAAAAGTAATATTACCGTGAATGCAAATATAAGTGTAATACTAGCACATTACGTTACATAATGTTACGAAAATTTGTACATTTTGATAGAAAAATTATGAAACATATATTGTTATTGCAATTTTCCGTTTAATATAAAGATATATAATTAGATATGAAATTATTAATTTTTATAAAAACGCATATAAACAGTGTAAAGTGAGTGATTATGCAGATAAATACTAATGTGACGAGACTTTTACGTGTACTCCACACAATCGCGTATATGGATTCGCGAGGGTAAGCAATTACGGAAGAAGGCAAACGTTAAAATCGCCAAGCAGGTCGGATATTTTGCGAAATTAATACAGAACACTGCTTTTCGCATTGGGTCGTATACGCGCGCGTGCGGAGGTCAGGTTTATAATTGTCATTAAATATCAATTAAATGAAACAACCTCGCAAGGCAACCCCGGCAATTGCAATTTCGCGAGTTTTAATCTCGCATACGTACACGTCAAATTCGTGCAACTCCGACTATGCCGCGCGCGCCTCACTTGCGATATTTCATTACGAGCGCGTATGATACGAAACAAAGGATCAGCGCCCGCGGCAATGTTATTTAATTTTTAAATCTGAATCGCGGAAGCGAAAAAGAGAGCTCTCTTCCCCTTGGCGGTGGGGAGCCCCGATGTTACGAGCGTTAGAAAAAGAAGTATGACGCGCGCCCCGCTTTTCATTTCATGACAATCGTAATTCCCTTTCCCCCAGACGGAATGGCCGTGGTAACGCGGTAATCGCGATGATAACGTTTACTTTGCTCGCAGACGCAATCTCGTGCTTCAGTAACCGAACGTAGAAATTTTCATTGAAAAGTTTTTTATTGCAATCTCTCGTTTGAAAATTCCGAGGTTTGAGTCGTAAGCCAGAATAATATGGTAAAGTAGGATAATTTACTTTTGTACCGCCGACGATTTTGCTTTTGTGCTATTTACCGTTGGAGTAATTCGTTTTGCGTTATTTAGAAGGAATAATTGAAACATCGTCTGAGATTTCCTTCGCTGCTCGTGAGTGACGTCTTTTTTCGTATAGTTCGATAACGCGCAAAATTATATGTATTTGCATAAATGCAAAATCCTCATGTTATTTACGAATTTCTCGTGACGCAAAACGCACTTTTAACATTTTTCGTCGGAACTACGCATTCCCTTAATTAGCCTTAGCTGTAAATAAAACCCTCAATTTATTAAAGAAGGATACATTTATAGTAATGAAGATCTTATATGTAAAATAAAATTCAAATATTAATAAAAGGATTATATATAACTCTAAAGCAATTGATGCTCAAATTTTTCAACTTAAAATTGTCTTTGATTAAAATTCGTAACAATAGTCAAAGGGGAAGTATTAAAAAATGTATTATTATATTTAATTTTTGACTCTTGTTATAATTTTAATTAAAGACAATTTTAAATTAAAAGATTTGCATATCATTAACTGCATTAAATTCGTATATATTTTTCATCAATATTTGAATCTCAATTTTATTGTATTTTTTTGCGATAACAACGGAAAAGAGTAATAAAATAATATTAAAATTGTTATAAGAAATATTGTTTTTTAACTTATTTTTTGTTAAATATAGAACGTTAATTTGTGCAAAAATTTCTAGCTGGAAATAAACGAACCAGAAGAATTTGATATTCATACGTGAATTAAAATTCTGGTTATCCCAACTAGAATTATAATAGATTCAAAAAATCAGAAAATTCTGATGTCTTTTCAACTAGAATTCCAATTAATGCAACCAGACTCTTTTTCCAGTGTGGGGGTGCTTTGTACTTATGGCCAAAGCTGTAGATGGCAAACACGGACTGGGGCGTTTCACAGTCGAGACCTGCTGGCAAACTCTGCTGAATTCTGGGAGGATCTCCGAAGCGTGTGTATATGTATGTAACCACGCGGAAGCTCGACATTACGACTCGCGCATCGCTTGTTGCGACGCAGCAAACACCGACGCACCTGTGCACTATCGCACACCGACGCACACGCGCACGCGGAATAATGATGTTCTCTCGCGCTCATCTACTGCAAACATGAATTAGTAACACGCTCGCCGGCTATGTACCAAAGGCTCTCCTTGTACCTTTTATATAACGTAACTGAGAGATTGCGCGCGATATTGAACTCCCTGCTAACAATTTAGATCAGGACAGAGAAAATTTTAAGATACCAGTTCATTAAGATTTCAAATGTGTCGTCAGGTATTTTCTCTTTTGTTACGCTGTGCTGGAAAAGCTTGTTCGTAAGTTACTCACAATTCGTAATTTAAGGGTGTTTTGACTGTACAGTATCAGCCAAAAGCATAAAAAAATTTGGCTTGTGCATCGCAATGACTATATTTTGCTGCAATTTTAAATAAAAATAACTTTTAAATAAATAACTTTTAAACGAGTTAATAAACTAGATTCAAAATAAATTAATTTTTGATCGCGAATATTTGTTACAGTTTTACTATTTATAAAAAAAAAATAATTTAATTCATAAAGTTCCTCATCAAAAATTTGTAATAAATACTACAAAACATGATTTTGTATAAGAATCGAAACAAAAAAAAACTAAATAACTAAAAAAAGTTAAATGACTGAAATCAATAAGATAATTCTATTCAAACTTTATATAGATATTTAGATATATTAACAGAATAAACAATGAAATTTTAATATTTTTAGTAATGCTTTGAGATGTGACATGGATTCTTACACAATAAATGTTTTGTTGCCATTAAATTTTCATGCGTCGTTCGCCCCGATTTCGTAACATTCGCAACGATCTCGCTTCGAGATGAATTTCAGGAAGACACCCTTTGGGGCTCTCTGCGCGATTGCGAAACTACTAACGGCGCCAAGTGCGCGCAACAACGCCGACAGGCCAGGACGCACTTGGAGCACACTGAAGTACTAAAGTGCCGAGTGGCCTGTCTACCAACGAGAGCGGAATCTGTGCAGCGCTTGCTAGAGTGCCGCGGCTCCGCTCATTCTCCCTTTGGCACATCGATTCTAGGTCGCGAAACAATGACGGTACACATATTAAGCACGGTACTTACTGTTCTTTGTGAAGGTGACGATCTTCAGAACCTTGCCATAGCGTGTGAAGATCTGTAACATACAAAATAAACCTTGGCTGAAAATAATTCGATTGACTTACGTATAATCTATAAGGAATCTTATCTCAATTGATTTTCATCTGTAAGGGATCTCATGATTTTTATTTCTTACAAAAGAACACAACAAAGTATCTTCCTTCGATTTTAACAAGCTTTAGATATATTAAAAAGAGAAGAGGAGAGGAGAGAGAGAGAGAGAGAGAGAGAAAGAAATAAGAGACACGAATTTTTTTGTAAGTTCATTCAAACATTAAGGGAAGTGAAAATTTCCCTCGAAAAAAACCGGTTTTTTTCTTCCTGAGTAAATGTCGTCTAACTGGATGTTGTAGGAGCAATGATAACTCAATCTCTTGAGTTCAATGATATTTTATTATTTTTAACTTTCATGTACGTCAAAATGTTAATTAATTCATTTCTGTAATTAGTTTCAAAGTAAATAATATCCATGTTAACTGCACTTGGTAAATAATAAACTAAATTCGAGTCAAATTTAATACATTTTCTTGAGTGTCTAATTTAATTGTTTCAATTAAATTAACGATATATTGAGTAAGAGCGACATATAGAAATGATAAAAAATAACTCAAATTCTTGAATATAATTTGACATAAATTTAACAGTAAACTATCAGGTATAAACAAATATTTTAAATAAAAGTTGAATTTCAGGACTCTCTTTATAATAATAATAATAATAATCTTTTTTTTAAATTTTTATTAAAAAAATTCGTTCACTTAGAAAGAAAAAGAAACGAAAGCCTTCTTTTTTTTCAAAAGAGGATTTTATTCGCTTAGTATGCAGAAAAGCATTTACAAAAAAATATGTGTCTCTCTCTCTTAATTTTGTCTATAAGTTATTAAAATAGAACATTTGATTGCGTTTCCTTGTTAGATAATTTAATTAGCAAATATAATTACAAGGGTGAATTAACCAGTGAAATTATAATTACATTTTCGTTTACAATGATAACGAAATTCAAGGCGATGAGGCCCGCAGGCGTTTCGCGAAAAATTACCTCGATTGAGCCTCATAATTAACGTCCGAGAATACAATCGTCATAATCGTATAGCTGCACACAAGCCCGGGCAGGACGTGACCGATGAAAATTATGAGTTTGGCAAACCGGCGATATTTCGCAGCGACGAAATTACAAAATAATTGGTGTGGATATTACGACAAAGCGATTTATTTCGGGGCAACGAGCTACAAAACGGGCGTGTGGATTATCAGACTTATAATGCGGCAATTATCCTCGGTAAAAGCAGCTATCGGAATCCCCCGGTAAAACAGCTCGTAATTACGATAACCGGACGGCCGTTCTAAAAAAATTGATTTGCGACACAACAGGCGCGGTCGCGGAATGGCGTTCTGCATAAATACCGGCGATATATTCAAAGGCCCGGGGTAACGCTCGCATGAATTTTCAAAAGCCTCTTTGGCGAGCGGCGGCGGCAGCCACGGCGACGGGAGCACAGTATCACGCAATATTTACAGGCGTATACGGTGTCGAGCCGCGGGCTAATAATCGCGCACGGCTCACGTCAAACCACCGGCCGTCATTGTCATATATTTGGTCGACAATGCCGATGATCACATTAATACCGCGAATGCAAATATTTGGCCCGGTATAACCGTTGCGTTCGCAACGGTCAACTGTGTACGGTTGGTTCTCCCGCGGCTTAGCCGTACCACCGGAACACCGAGGGATTAATGATTTTTTAATCTATCGGCTTTTCAACCCGATCGATTGTAAATCATTCCTTGTTGTTAATTATAGATTCATCACGTTGTTCATGTAGAAACATTATTATTTCGATCTCGCGTCTATTAGTGGCTCATTAGACTGATCTGACAAATGGCATTGATTTGATCACGTGAAATTAGCACCTCAACTTCAGTTCTCGAGAGTTTTGATTAGAGTTTTAGTTTCCTTTGAAGAGTAGAGAAGTTCTTTAATGTTTTTAAAAAGTTCCGACGATTACCACTATTAACTCGGGAATAGTCACCTGGGGTATTTTTATACTCCAGCGGTAAAAAAATGTGAATTGTGAAATATTGTATGGATATTCTTTAACATGTTTTTTTACTTTCTTAATAATTATTCTTTATGAACCTTTAAATATGCAATGCCATCGAAAAGCTGCAATAAGGAAAGCGTTATATTAACTAAAATTCTTATTCTTTTTTTTTTTTAGAAATAATATCATAATAAGCTACTTAACGTATGTATTTCTTTCAATATTTTATTTAGTTTCTACTTACTTTTTTTCAGAAAATTATCATTAAATCCACAATGTTCTCAAATATCTACTAATAAATCGGAAAACAATCAATAACATGCAATATATATTATAATGGTTTTAATTGAGATGTAAAAACACCTCATCTGATCGTTTACGCAAAAAATGAATGTGATTATTCCCAGATTAAAATAACAATTAAAAAATGAGGTGCTAACTTTACACCCGATATCACGACCGAATAATTCTGAATAGCTATTTAATACCAATGAATGATTTCCCACGCCGAGTTATTTTTTGACGCTCGAGATTGTCGAAAGGGCGCGTCCGCCGAGTAAATACGTAAAAAGCTCGTAAAAGCGTGACCGCGAGGAGAAATGAAAAATTTCCGAGTGGGACATGAGAGCGGACGGAGGGATGGAAGGGAAACGCTAATGCGAGCTGCGTTTTAGCTCCCAAATATTCAATATTGCACGCGACCCGCGCAACCGAATGAGAAGTTTATATTTCGCCGTTAACGCGACGATAAATTCGCAAAATTGAAAATAGAGAAACGCATCGTCGGAAGAATAGAAAAAAAAACAACCGCAATATCGCGGAACGTCACGCCGCAATATAAAATTGCGTATAAGGATGCATTTCTTGCAAGCTGTATTTTCTGCTCCGCGCTTTTGAGATCACGCTTCCTTTGACCGTGGCACGCAAAGTACGACGCATAAACAAATTCGTGATCTTTACGGCCTTTGTAAAACTCTTGCATTCGAAATTGCTTTGCAGAAACCTACGAAGGTGTTTGTTCTTGCAAAACCAATGTGATGATACTTTCTTCGACTCCACGTCACAACTTTTCTCTCCCTCTTCTCTCTCTCTCTCTCTCTCTCTCTCTCTCTCTCTCTCTCTCTCTCTCTCTCGTGTTTGAAAAATCACGTTTTAATGATTAAATCATTCCGAGAAAGAAAAATCATACAAGAGACGTAATTTGCAGTAATGCAAACTAATTTTTAAAACTCGTTAATGATTGTGTGGATGTCTACATAGCAAAATAGCGGCGAATGCACACACAGAAAAGTGTATTCTTTGATTAATTAATTCTCAATTTTTATGTTACTGCGCGCGTGCATCTTTTAGGAAACATGGAAAATGAAAAAATTGCTGTAATAATGAATGGAATTCTGATGCTAAAAGGGAATATACGCAACGTGGAAGCGGCTCGAAAGAATGTGAAACACGCGCCGCGAGCTTTACACAACGCTTCAGTAATTAGTGGAACTCTAGGGAGAAAAGATGTATGCAACCGTGCTGTATCTGTGATATGCGCATACACCAATTGGGACAAAGACTTTTCGTGTGCCAACGGCGTGGGCAGAACTTGAACTAGAACGAGACTACGGCACTTCTTTTTTAAACAAGTCGACAAAGCGATGTTCTCTGGTGCGCGATGCCCACCTATGGCGAATTATATAGAGTGAATAAAAGAATTTCGAAAAATGGAATTCTTTAATCAAACCGGACCGCGGCAAAATATTCTTATTTAATCGAACAAGGGAAAATTCAATCATATTACGATGCAACGGCACGTTCTTTAACAAATTAAAAAAAAACTGTCTTTTTTTCAGAAGATTTTATTTTATGAAAAAATATAATTGTTTATAAATTTTAATTCGAGAAATTAAATAATGCACGGAGAAAGTCATGGTTGAATTAACAAGGTATAAATATTTGGTTCACAGTGAATTTTGATAAAAGTAAATAGAATTTCTAGTTATTATAATTAAATTTTGATACGCAATCTGAACATTTAAATATAATACCGGTTAGAGTTTGATTAGTGCGTGTGTAGTAATAATATCCAAATTCAAAATAATATCTAGTTAAAAAAGTACTTGATAAAACTAACAGATTTCTGCTTATCATAATTAAATAATCCATTTTAACCAAAAGTGTTGTTATTTTTATTAGAATTTATGCAACCAAAATGTCTGGTTGCCACAATTAAAATATACGCGACCGTCTTATTTTAACTAAGATTATGAATAGTTCATATTTCATCAAATAATCTGTTATTATTTTAGGTAATACATAATTCAACCAATTTTTTCAGTATGTAATAGTTAATGATAAAACTACATTAAAATAAATAAGATTATGAAAATACAATGTCTTGATAATTTCACGATCGTTCCTTTCCTTAATTTTTTTCTTACCAAATTAAAGTTTACAGGCAGGCAATACTTGTTTTTAGATATTGCGTAATTGGTGCGTTTCTTAACAGTTTTTTTGCCTGTTTGTACGTTGTAACAATTAACCTTTTCCGATAAAGAGCGAAAAAATTTTCCAATGAGACTTTTAAAAATCGTTTAAAATGTACGAGACTGTATTCGCGGAATAGTGAAATTTTCCCGAATATAAATGTCGAATATAATAATTAAAGCTTGCCCATTAAAGAGGCATCGATAACGATAAAAATTGGTGCATCTTTGCAAGTAGATCTCATTATCGTTACACGTTTATATTCGGCTATAAGCAATAAGAATCATTTTTACGATAATTGTGCTCGGAAAAGCTATGATCAGTTCTGTAATATCATTGATATATTATATCATACTAATAAAATTAATTGATTAAAATTTCTTTTATCAACGCGTGTGTTTTAAAAATATTGTACTGTATTTATCTAAACACATAGTGGTTATTTTATGATTATAGGAAATTAAAAATTAAATTTAAAAAAATATTTTTAATTCCATTTTCA